GGGCACCAAACTGGGCCGAATATTCTCCGAATTGAATCGCCACCCAAAGCTTCGTACAGCCCTAATATCTATACATGTGCTCTGGGGTGGGCAGGGAAACATTTTAATTAGAGAGACTCTCAGACAACCACTCTAATTAAAACACCACAGTGTCATGTGTATTCAGTATCCCACATTTCAAAAGGGCTGCAAGGGCACTTTAACTAAAGCTTGTTTGACAAGGTATTAGTTAAAGTATCCTCGCTGCCATGCTGAATGCACGTGATGGTGAAGCATGCTACAGCCTCCTAATTAGAAGGTTCCAGGAGACTTGATTAATGAAGTCTGCTCTGACACGGTCTAATCTGAACACGTTGGAGTAGGTGTATAGGCCCACAGTAAATCCAAACTTTTTTTTATGGTTCAGAGAAGCAATCAAGAGTGACCTAGAGGTCTTCTATTGCATGGGCATACATGCCAATCATCAGCATACAGAATATCAGTAATGGAAGAGTTGGTATCATGGAGTAGGAACTTAACCAGTTAATGTTAAGGAGATTCCCTGTCAGCAATTGAGATGCAGAATAGTGATATAGATGGGGAAAAGTGCTGGTGCAATCACGCATCCATGCTTGATGCCAGTTCTGATAATGAAGGTGTCTATTTCTGAGCCACCGCTTAGGATCATAGCCTCCTGCCCACTGAAAAAGCTGCTGTTTTTAAGCAGTCAGCCACTCCCATGAAGTTAAGTGGGACCAACTGGGGGTAGTTAGACCATTGGCATCCAGGTCCATGTAGGTAACTAGGGGCATCTGAGGGCAATTTACCCTTCTTGCTGCTCTGATTGCTGACAATTCAGCTCAGAGCACACAAGTGGAAAATTTGTAATCTAATTATTGGAGGGTTGTCTTTAATTCATTCCCCCCACTGCTATGGGGGGCAGGTGGCATGGGGAGGTCAAGCAGCTTGCTCACTGCTTGTGCCTGCCCTCTTGACACCTCTGCCCCCTACCTACCCCCCCTTGAGTCCCCCCTTTCTCTTCTGTTCCCCCTTGCCCCTCCTCCCCAACCTCTACTTCCTCCTTTCTGTCTCCCCCTCTAGTCTCTCCTCCCCTCTTCCTCACCCGCCTCTGCTCCCTGCTTCCTTCTTTTGCTTTTCCTTTCTCCTTGCCAGCAGGCTCCATTCTTATGCTAGCCTGGGGCACTGAGCACAACTCCAACCTAGCCCCCATAGCACCTAGGAAACAAGGGCAGGAAGCAGAAGCTGGTGAGGGAGAGGGGAGCAAAGACTAGATGGGGAGATGGAAAGGGGGAAGTAGAGGCTACACACCAGTGCTATGGGGGAGACGAGGGGAAGAAGCTTCAAGGAGGAGATGACAGGGTGCAAAAGTGTTGGGTGGGGAGAAGGGGGGCAGGTAGTAGCTGCGACTGTGGCCTGGACCCTGGGCAGCATCTGGAGCCTTAGCTACGGCATCTGCCTGCCCCCTCACTACCCTCATACTCTATTCTAAAATAAGGGGCTCCCCCCTGTTAGGGGGACTAAAACTGTGTCTTAGCATCAAGTAAATACAGTATTCTTTGATAGAAGCTCATTGATGTCCCCAGATGGTAGCTAGGAAAAATCCAGGAGCGAGTATAATGTGTTAGAGACCAAAAAGGATAGGGCCCTCCCATGACCCATTCTGTCCCTGCCAGATGGTTTGATATTAATAATTTCCTCTGTATAGGCTTTACTTTTTGAAGTAAAACATGGAATACAATATTTGGATTTGAGGGGGGGAAATATTTTACTCAGAAGTTCATTTACCTTTCTTATATGTTTTTGAAGTGGTGGTTTTATTACTTGAAATTTGATTTCTTCAGAAAGTTGAAGTTGGAAGTGAGAAGCTCAGATTTGGCTAAGCAACACTTAATCTAAATGAAGCACTTAAACAGTAACATAACATTCTTTATTTTTAGTTGTATTTTATTTTCTTATTTTTTAAAAATCCAAATTTGAAACTAAACAGTTTCTATATCTCAAAGCAAACAATTGTAATTGAACCAAAATGGTTGGATTTTTGTTCATCTGAGTTAATGCTAAGTTTAACTTTTAATTCTCATTTCGATCTGACACTAGAAGAAATTGCATGGTGGAATTTCCCATACTGATTGTGGATGGAGTAAAATGTTGAATTCCGAAAATTTCTCTTTAGAAACCCTTCCATATTTATTCTCCTCCTCCTAATTGGATCTACTGTTCAGATTTACTTTTTTCTGGAAAAAAGGATACTGGCATTGCAGGGTTAGACTTTGTCTGAATGAGTGAGGATATCATCATCCCACAGGTCCCACTTCAGTTAATTCTGATTTAGTCAAAAGG